CTGTAGCCATTGTTGAGTTCTCTAGTACCACCCAATACCGCTGCTTACCCAGTACCTTTTATTCAGATAACCAGTGAGAGCAGTGGTGATCAGCGTAGAAAATCAACACCCGGAAAATGACCCTTCATCGCAGAAGAGCAAACAACAGGGTAAAACCCATCATACAAAGATTGAATTAAGGTTTTATTTGTTTTAGACTCCTCACAGTTGTCTTTCAGCAAACACAGGGAAAAATATTAAGTTGAAAAAAAAGAGTAAGATGTGTTTCCTTTAAATATAGAATGACAGCATTGTTTATCAGATTATGCATTTTCTCCACAGGCCTTCATACATAACGTTTGCGTAGGTGTCAGAGTCTGAGGGTGAGCCTAGTTCTTCCGCAGTTAACCGAACACTTAAATAGAAAAATGTGAGAAGAACTTAGAGCTCAGCGAGAGCGAGTGAGGGAAAGGAAGAAACCTGTGTTTGTAATTATAAAGAGTTGTGTGATTATGAAAAAGCCACAGTGGCTAAAAATGAATCATTGTGTAGCTTCTGAATAATGCAACAGGAGTTGGCTTTGAGAATAGAGGAGGTGTTTCTGGGTAGAAAGTTCAGCTCGCACATCTGTGCTTTATGGAAATCCAGACCCAGAATGCAGGGGAACATGCAAATTGTGCCAGAACTTGCAGCAATAAAGAGGAATATTTCAGAAAACTTTTCAAACCTTTTATTTGTGTGCTCTTTGAGGTGTAGGCTGAAATTGAATGCGCTACAGAGATGCCGTAGCGCTATCTGGGTTGACAGCCATTTATCTTATCCTTGTACGCTTAGGTTGACATTGTTCACCCTTACGTGAATAGTAACCTTTTAAAAATTCTTATAACTGCAGGTTCACATCCACTTTGCTTCAATCAATGGTACCTGAGGTACATCACAAACACATAAAGTTAGGTTGAGTAGGAGTGTGTGAAATATTTTTCACAGATAAATGGGAAAATTGAATCGTTTTGGTCTGATATTAGAATGACAGCTTATAACTGTTACAGACAATATATTTCGTTTGTTGGTTTGCACACTTACTAAAACACATGCAGCCACTAGTGGTGAACATTTCTAGCTGTATTTAACTGGAGTATTGCCCCACCCGCAAGAGACAGGGGTTTATTCCACATCCTTGCATAAACACAGACAAATAATGCTAAATTCACACTGCCAGGTAAGAGTGACTCAAATCCATTTTTTCTCTTCATCTATGACATGGATTTGTTTTTTCACTGACAGTGTGAACTAAAAAATCACATTGTATTTGAACATTTAAATTCCACTTGGGTCCACTTTTATATACATCTTTTATTTCCTTATTTATTTCATTAATTATATTTTTTAAATCCTAATTTTATCTTATTTGTTAAGTTACTATATTGTAATTTTAATGGTTTAAATTTACTACTATGATTATTATTACTTTCTAGCATTTGTTATGTTTTTACTATTAAACTTCTCAATCCCTGATCTCCGTATTGGCTCGGGTCTAAACAAAGGTTTATTGATTGATTGATTGATTGATTGATATGTGGAACTTAAATACGTATCTGATACGTGGCAATTTGACCTCTGTCTAAACAGTCAACTTGGAATTAATTTGCTTTCAAGTCAATTTTCATCTTAATTTCACACTCAGCGTCATCAGAATGCCTGTTACTATGGTTGTGCTTCACATTGAGAGCACTGCTATACTGCATGGAATGTCTTGCAATGAGGGCGCTGATAAACACAGCTCTACACAAGTATATCTAATGTAATACTGAACAACTTAATGAATAGCTTTCAGCATGTTCATCACTTATAAGCTCACTGACTCTCTGACTGACGGCGCTGGCATGGGTACCTTCATTTAAACAAATGGTTTTTAATTTTTGGATGCATCTCATCCGATGTGCTGTGGCCTTAAGAGGGCTTAGGCAAGACACCAAGTGTTGCATTCACCTACCTGTTAAGACTGCCTGTTAATCAAAATAAAATATTTACCTAAAACAATGAAAATATTTACTGATTGTCACGTCTAATTTAGTTAATTTAGTAATTTAATGTCATTGCAATGTAAAATGAATCCATGATCAGTTTATAGTGAGAACCTATAGTGTTAAAGCATAAATTATCAGTCATTGAAATCAGTATAGGCAACAAGAAGTCACTAATTATTGGTTAGCATTATTGGCCCAGAAGTTCTGTATTGTTGCGTTCCTATTAATCAGATTCTACACTTTTTATATATGTCACTCTAGATAAAGTCCAGTCCAATCTGGCATCTACTCTACTGTCCACTCATAAAAGAAAAAGCTTCACCTCCTCTCTAGAGATCTTCTCTTTACGTTCATAATGCCCCTTGACCCCTGTTCTGCACAGGGACCTATTAGACAAGGCCAAGCTAAAGGCATGCCTTCATAGACACTGTTTTGTCCTTTGTGTCTGAATTTATAGCAGCAGAAAGGAAAAGAAATAGATGAGGGCACTGCTGATCGTAAACAATATACTGCCAATCAAGTACTAAAACTCCATTTGCATTCGGAAATTAAATTGTATGATCCTCTTATGTCTGTCCCAAATGCCCGGTACATTGAATGTCAATTGCATTGTACCAAAACCAATGAATCTACCATAAAAATCTAATAGCATGAAACTCAATTTATTTTTGAAACAGAAAAGGTCAGCACAGTACAGAGGCGGTAGTTAATGCCCAGGGAAATATCCTAACACTCCAGAGAAGTCAATATAAAGGAATGACTTATGGTTGGGTTAGTACACTGTATCTAGCAAATAACCTTACAACAGTATGAACGAAGCTTGAGTTAAACTGTGAATATCTAGCTGTGTTAACTCTTAGATGTTACTTTCGTTTTGGCTATTCAAATGTATTTATATAATAACATAGTAAAATCCATAGTTACATACATTACTGTGCAAAAATCAGAGACCACCCCATTTAATTCCCAGTTCATTTTTCAGCATTAGGGAAAACAGCAGAAAGCATATATTAAACAAAACATTACACAGAAGCTTCAGCAACTAAACCTAATATCAAGTTATCAGCATTTGTTGTGTCTGCTACACAGCTTCCATTCTTTTCAGGAGACTTGCTTTCAGATTTTCAAAGAAATCTGCAGGGATGTTTTTCCACACCTCCAAAGTTCAGTCTTAGAAGTTGGTTGCTTTTTCTGTTTTGTCACACAAATCCCAAACACATTCAGTGATGTTGAGGTCTGTTCTAAAAACATGAGAAGCTTCTCTGTTTGATTGTCAAAAATTCTTCTTTTTTGTCTATTCTCTTTTTTTCAGTGAGGCTTCTTAACAGCTACACATCCTTTCAGACCCACAGCGCTGAGTCATCTTCTCACAGTGGAAGGATGGACAGAAACACCTGTGGATGTTTTCAGATCTGAAGCAGCTTGATTTTCTCAAAAGATGAAATCTTTAAGCACGGTTTATCTGATGGGGACAGTTTTGGTGATCTAGTGGTTGTTAGTAGCATTTTCCCTGTAGTTTAAATTTTTTTTTCTAAGTTTTGAAAACTGCAAAATAATTTTTTTTCACTTATTTTCCTTTGACAATTCCCTTCTTTATGCAGACTGTCTTATCTAATCCGCTCACGTATCTCCTGAAAAATGAATAACTTGCTTTTAATGGCTGACTTTTGCACAGTACTATACATAATTATATTTACATTTTAGTTTATATTCTTTATCAACAGGTTCAAATCTGCAAAACATTATTGAATACCCAGCAATAACTTTTCATCAGATTAAAATTGTTATAGAGTATCTCCTCTTCTGCTTACAAACACAAGTGTGTATGAAAGTTTAGATTCTGCACTTTCCATAGACGTTCTGCACTTGTTTCAAGAAGCTATGAGTGAGAAATAATTCATATCAAATTACAGCTTGCTTTTCTTGTAGCTAATGATAACTGACTTTTAAGGGGTAAGATCACTCTCATTCACCGATCGTTCTTAAGAAGAAACTTAATCTTAAAATCCTTGTGCATTTTTCAGAAAGATTCTAACATTCAGTGTTTTCTTATTTGGGATTTGTTCTTAGGTAAGAACACGTTATAATTCTGATGTAGACTTTTTCTTGGGACCTTTCTCAAGAACACATTTAAGAAAGAATTTAAGATAGATATTGGTGAATGAGCCCCGATGTCCATCATCGTTTACCCTCCAGATGAGGGGGTAGAGTTGGAGTTATTCTAAATGTCAGAGACTGGCAGTTGTGTCATTTGAAGGGGACTGAAAGTTTACAAGTGCAGTCCTGTCCCGAGAGGCTGAGTATGAAGTACATCAGAGCGAATGTGAATTCTTTGTGGTGTAAAGGTTTGGCAGGAAGAGATGCTTGGCCCCCGGACCCTTTTCTCTCCCATCCCCATTCTCTTTCGTTTGCTACTGCATCACCTGTTCTTTTTATGTTTGCCTGCTAGTGACCAATATGGCAGCTTCTGTTGTGCCATTTCCAATACAGAACCACAGAACAAAGAAATGTTAAAAGAAAGACAATAAACCTTTCATGCTGAAATATTTCACCCTTTAGAAGATGAAGTCAGTGTATACTAAGGGCCAAAATGTGTGAAATTCATCCCGTGTTAGGCTATTTGATCTGAATGATTCAGCTTCTTATGCTGCGGTTGTTTCATTTGGATTATTTCCAGCTAACATTTTGAACTACCGCATACAATGTGCATAAAGAACGATGTTTTCAGTTCTTTCCCATTCTGTGACGCTGTTGCTCTGTTCTGTAATGAAATGTAACCTGATTTGCTCTTTCTCTCTCAGTTGTTCTTACCATCTCTCTCTCTCTGCCCCCTCCTCTTTTCATCCCTTCTTCACTCTCTCTTTTTCTCTCTCTCTCTGTCTTTGTTGCTCTTTATTTCTCTTTCTGTTTCACTCACTTTCTTTCTTTTTCTCCGTGTCTCACTCTCTTTCTCTGTTGCCCTCTCTCTATATCTCTCTCACTCTCTCTCTTTAGCTCAGAACTGTTCAGGGCTTCATTCGTGTGGTCAGTGTTTGGAGCAGCCGGCCTGTGGCTGGTGTGGAGACCCAAGTGACACTGGTCAGGGACGCTGTGTTGAGGGTTCCTACCGTGGAGCAGTGAAGAGACTGAATGAGCAGAAGCACATGATGATCTTGGACACAAGCCTGTGCCCAGTAGAAAGAGGATATAAATGGGACTTTATACAGTGTCCAGGTGTGCATGTATAAATGCATATATGGATCCGCATGGGTGTGGATATTTAAATATATGGATATCTAAACTCATCTTAGTATTTGTTTACTAAAACGTTTCTTTAAATTAGGCATGTTTAATATACACAGAATAAATAATTATCTTAGATTTTTATATACGTTTTTAATTGAGCCTGTGACATAAAATCAGCAGCTGATATTGAGTCACATGTTAAGCTGAAAAGCTACATCTAAGCAGACATGTTTACAACTTCTGTCTCCTCTGTGTTTCAGTATGTCAGTGTAATGGACACAGTACCTGCGTGAACGGAAGCTTGTGTGTACAGTGTAGAAACTTCACTACGGGACAGCAGTGCCAAACCTGCCTACCTGGGTACTATGGTGACCCCACCAATGGAGGAGCGTGCCGAGGTATGAACTGTGAATGTGTAGGTACTGGCAGTACGATTGTGGGTTTAATTTTTTTCCGTTTTTGGTTTTCTGTTGTTTTATTTTCCAGATATTTGGATTGTTACTCATATTTACTATTAGAACATCTACAGTAACACAGATAAATGATACTCTGCGTTCTTTTATTTGCTTAACATATTCAGTGACAACAAGAAAAGATTGGGTTAAAAATACAACAACAAACGAACAAGTTAATTTATAACACACATTCTCACTCACATTTAGCAGGATAAAGATTCTCCAAAGGGGGATGCTATGATTTCTCAAATAGTTTTCTGAGCATCGTAATGGAAGAGGTGGAACTGGGATAAACCCACATCAGCAGGATCTCACAACCGCATGAGATTTTAATCAGCTTCTGTTTCTTTTTGGGAGTGTTTAAAGCAGGGATGTCAAACTCAACCGCTTAAAGGGCCATATTAAAAAAGGGGCTGGGCTCCCGAGTGGCGCAACCGTCTAAGCGTTGGCCCTATCATCAGGAGATCGCGAGTTCGATCCCTGGTGATGCTACAGCCGTCCGTAGCCGGGAGTCCAAGAGAGCACAATTGGCCTCGCTCTCTCTGGGTGGGTAGGATGGCCCCTCCTTCTCCTCCCATCACTCAGCGCGATGCTAGTCAGCGCAGGCGTCTGTTAGCTGACGTAACTGGCGGTTGGCGCTTTCCTCCGAGCGCATTCGGCTGTCCAGTGACGTTGCGTGAGCGGCAGTTCGAAAAGAAGCGGTGGTTGGCTTCACAGGTCTCGGAGGAAGCCTGTGTTAGCCTTCGCCCTCGTAGCGTTGATAGCATCGTGTGATTGGGGGAGTCCTAACTAGCGGGTGGAATTGGAGACGACTAAATTGGGGAGAAAAATCGGGTAAAAATTAAAAGGGGCTAAGAATAGAAAATTAAAATAAATTTGTGGGCCGAATAGGACTGCGTCACGGGCCTGACTTGGCCCTCGGTCCTTGTGTTTGACACATGGGGTTTAAAGTAAGTAAAATACCTAAAACACACCCTGTGTAAGTACACAAACGAGTATATTCTGTTCACTGATAGGAGACACGTTCACTCTTCAGCTAGACTGAGGGAAGGCAGAAGAAGCAGCAGTGGTGTTCCACATCAGTGAATCTGTGTTCTTGTTTTAATATTACTGGTTCCCACAGTCAGCTAGTTAACCTACAAACCTTCACTGACAGGTGGAGGCTGAGCGCCACGCGTGCCGTAATGTTCAGAGAAGCACAGCAGGACTCCTGCAAAGAAAAGCTTTGACTGAAAGAACAGCCAATATAAACATTATTCAGTTGGTGTGTGGAGATATTGCACAAGAGCCTCCAAGCTTAGTAGACAGTGCTTCACCTCGCAAGAGAACAATGATTTGAAGTATACTGCTAAAGCATCTGTGGAGTTCATCATGGCCAGAAATGGTCTTGACTGGCCTGTTCAATCACCCCACCTGAGTTCCAGCAAGCATGAATTTCTCTTAGTGTAGAGAAGACCAAAGACCAAATACTTTAGAAACTGGTGGTCAAGTGCTAAAGCAGCTGCTCATTGTTTTCTGCTTTTAGTGTGTTTTGAGTCTGTGGGTTTTTTCTCCTTTTCTAAGTACAGAGAGAGATTAGGTTGAAGTATTTCTTTAAGAAGTGTGCAAATCTGGACATGGCTCTTCATCATTGTGGCTGTTCTACTCAGTGATTCCACAGACTCTACCTTTATTGCTCTCAGAGATGAGAAGCAGAGAGGGGAGGATGATGAAGAGAGCGGAGAGAGTGCGCAAGCACGGGTGATGAGGAGAATGATGCAGAGAGTGAGGGGAAGAGATGGAGAGAGCAAGAGAGAGAGCGAGAGAAAGAGAGAGACAGAGACAGAGAGAGAGACTGAGACGATGGGAGTGATGTAATGACATCACTCTCTGTTGGGCTGATGTGCATTTTCTCCACATTCTGGATGACATTAAATCACTCTTAATCATTTTCTTATTTCCTGAAGTTGACTGCCCCCCCACTAAAGCAGCAACAGAGAGCATAGCACATACTTGATGGATGTGAACATCTACATAACGATATACTTGTATATCCTTCTCTTTCTCTCTCTCTCTCTCTCTCTCTTTCCCCCACCGCTCAGTTTAACACCTATGTGAGGGGGATTTAATATATTACGTGATGGTGTAGTTGCTTGCTTGTGTTTAACGCTGTGATTGCAGTGGCTGGTGATTCTGCAGTGTCATTTGTCAGCGTTAGCAGAGATTTACCTCCACTCGTACCATAATGCTTTAAAAGCCACTGATCTGTGAGAGAGAGATGGAGAATGGGCCTCTTTTATAAGGCATCGAGAAGGTGGGGAAGATATCTCTGATCTCTGCCTCAGTGTGTGTGTATGTGTGTGTGTGTGTGTGTGTGTTTATTTGTACGTATGTGTGTGAGTGAAGTGTCTGAGGGATGGCCCATCAAAGAGAGATCAGGGTAAAATATGACGCTCAGCTGGCTGCCCTTGAAAACTGAGAGACAGAGGGAAAATGGAGTTTAGGGAAGATAGAGGACAGATGTCCTCTAGAAAGGCCTCCTCTATTTGAAAGAGAACAAGAGACGGATTTTACACTGACCATTTTGGACAGGTCCATGTGTCGTGAGTGGACTGGACCTCTAAACTCATCATTTTGGGTGACCTTGGGTGAGCTCTTTCCAGCTGAAATCCAGCCAGATCTTTACACATACACACAGGGTTGTTTTTATAAAAACCCAATCCAAGAAAGTTGGGCAGTATGTGATAGGCCAATAAAAAACAGAAAGCAGTTAAATAAAGCAGTTCTGTTTGACCTAAAACAAACTGAAAACAGCACAAACGTGATATTTGATGCTTTACCTCATGAACTTGATTGTTATTTTGTAAATATATGCAAATTCCAAGTATGATGCCTGCAACATGTGCCAAAAGAATTGGGACAGGAGCATATTCACCACTGTGTTACATCACCCTTCATTCTAGCAGCACTTCAGACCATTTCAGGACTGAAGACACCAGTTAATTCAGTTTTGAAAGTGTAATTTTTTGACATTCATCAGTTCTATTGTATTTATATTATACATATCACTGTTGTCGGAAGAAAACCAGTTTTTAACATAATATGAAAATACATGCTACCCCTATGTGAATTTCATGATGAATGGACTAAAAGAAATGACCTAAAATGATTTGTGAAAAAAGTCTGGTTCCATTGACTTACATTGAAGGTAAAGTAGGTTTTTCCCTTCTCCTGTAAAGTTATCATTTTGGAGATACAAGGTTTTCTTCTGACAACAGCGATAAATATTATGCATATAGATGAGGTTTTTAATTTTCTCTTGAACATATTTCTGCTTTTTTTCCCGTACTGAAAAATAAGCAGTTTTTACTGACTGACCGTTATGGCTGGAAATTAAAGAAATGAAAGGGCAGTCTCTGACTTTTAAGCATAACCCTAACCTTAACCTCAATAAACCAGATTTGCCCTTTAATTTAAAAATAACAAAACACTGTTAAAGCTTTTTGTTATAAAGCACTTTAAAAAGTCAGTAGGACTATTTTTGAGTCCTGATAAGGTTGTTTAGTCTTGTTTTCTCTATTTGTTTTTTACAAAGTCAGAACGTTTTTGTCTTAAAATGTACCAAAACAAACAAACATACACAGACACAATCTCTCTTTCCCTTGTGATACATTTTTTTTAGCACATGCTCAAAGCTGAACTGCCTAACAGCTGCGCAGTGGGCCCACCTGTCAATTCTTGAGCTTTGAGTAAGACTCAAGCTGGCAGTTTTGTGCTACCCTGGTCTGCTGACATTTCCTTTTGGGTGAATAGACAGAATGAAAGTGTTAGGGCAGAGTAAATGGGGTACAGTATACTTACTGTAAGTTGAGGTAACATGTTTTTTTAGATAAGTGGTCATTTACGGGGAATTTACAAAAGCCTGATGCTGTAGCGTACAAACTAGTAAAATGACAGGGAGTCAAGGTTCCATTAGGCCAGGGGTCGGCAACCCAAACGTTAAGAAGAGCCATTTTGTCCTTTCAATAAAAATCAAACCACCTTGAGAGCCTCAACATTTTATGTCCGTTTTAACATCTTGGCTGTAAATACGTCTCAGTATGTGCTGATGTACTAGCATAGACTAAAAAATATAAACAAAAAAGCAGACTTACTTTGCTCTGCTTTAAGCTTCAGCTCAGCTATAGCTGCTTTTCTCGCATCTCCGGCAGGAAACTTTTCCTCAAAAGTGAAATAGTTTCTTGTAAAATGTCTCTCACTGTTGAACTTCTTACGAGGCTGAAGTCAGCTTCTTATTCTCCAGCTTCTTGTTCTTGATTTTCTTAAATGGTGCCTGAGGTGCCACAGTGTAACTGTAGCACATTTAAGGTGGAACGGGAAAATTCAAACAAGAAGCTGACTTCAGCTCTGCATTAGGCGAAGCCCAGGTTTTTCCTATTCTTATTATTCTGAAACTAATTAATATTTTCAGTGCTACTACGTCACTGCTGTGCTGAGAATGGTCTACTATAGAGGGGGCTAAAGAGGGGATGATAAATTTGGCATCAACAGATTGGCTGCAGTCAGTAAGAGTAAACCTGCAAAGTACATGTATATGGTGTTTCTGATAAAATTACCTATGAGTGCAGGTACGATGTAGATTCACTTAGTTAACTGAGTGTAGATTTAGGATCTGAAACGGGGGGGTTGGCAAGAAAGCCTGAGGGTGTGAAACATATGGGATGGATTGGGAGAAGGAAAAGCTGTGACAGTACTAAAAGAGAGAGTTACAAATCTCTGTCTCTCCCCCCTCTCTTCTCGTCTCAAGACTATTTTTGTGCCTTCCACCTCTCCTCTAGTCACCCTGTTGTGAGGGCTGCGCTGCAGAGTGCAATTAAAATGTTTATCGCTCTGGATGTAGCATGATGTGTTATCCTCGCAAATTCTATTATGCTACCATGGAGAGTGGCTGTTAGATTGGTGTT